CTCTCCCTATGCTTCTATATGCCACCATTACACATTACTAACTTTTTGTTTCCTCTCTCCCGTAGTGTGTCCTCTCTCTGTACCTTTTTGCAGGTTGCCCTGGCCCTGGAGCATTACGTCTCTGACGAGCAGTCACCAGCCACATCGACCTGATCAGTGTTTGATTGTTTGTTTTGTCTTGTTGCTTTTCTTCTTTTGTTTCTCCTCTATCCACTCACCCCAACCGGTCGAGGCAGAAGGCCGCCCACCAATAGCCGGGAGTCTGTCGGAGGTTTCTTCCGTTAAAGGGAATTTTTCCTCCCCACTGTCGTCAAGTGCTTGCTCACGGGGGATTTGTTGGATTTTTCCCTATGTAATAATATTGATAACAGTAAGGTCTAGACCTTACTTTGTAAAGTGTCCTGAGATGACTTTTGTTGTGATTTGGCGCTATACAAATAAAATTTGATTTGATTTAGTACTCTTCATACTTATATTAACCTTTAGGTCAGTATTCATCGATGCTGAGCATTGTGAGTATGTCACAGACTAATTGGAGAAAAAAAAACCAAAGCGATATGTAGAGAACATGCAGTATGTGACATTGCTTCAATGTGACTTTGTATAACAGTTCCTGTTTGACGAATTTACTTTGAAGTGGCTTTTTTTTTTAAATCTCCGGTTTTCATACCAGTTGATTGCAGAAAACCACAACAAATTTCTGAGTCACTTTTATGTGTGAACCAAATAGGATGAAAAGAATGTGTCTGGTACATTGGTTTACTAATGAATTTTTAATGGGTATTATATCTGTGGCAAATAACTGTACTCAGACACAGTATTTGCTGCAAATAACTGTGCTGGATGGTTTCCACAGATTCAAAATGAACAAAAGAACGGCGGTTACTGGATCCTTCCCGTCTAATGAACAGCGATTCATCACCCTGAATAATATGATACTAGTTCATTTGCATATTTGATGCTAATGTGGTGTTTGTTTACGGTAATGAGCACTTGTAATTGGATTTTAATTCATTACATGAGGAATGGTCTATTGCTGGAAAAGATTTTTGCAGTATTTATGTCAGTGAAAGCATCAATCTTAATGTCACCATATTTCTTGTGCAGAAAGGTGTTATGTGTTTCCAGCAATGCCCAAAAATAATCTGATTTCAGCAAATACAACACCACTTTAAATAGGTGTTTAGGGGTTGTCTGCGACTCAGTTGAGTCAAATCAAATTGTAAAGCTCTCACTTTTAGTATCTCCTACTTTGTGTTGCAATTCATGCATCATTTACATGTACAATGAACGCTCCTGCGCGACTCAATCAATGTAGCAACACAGCTTCCAGCGGCTGTTAGATGAATCTCTCTCACCACTCCTCTCCTCACCACCACTGGAGTCAATCCAAGACAACTGTTAGAGCCACATCGTGCCATGCAAATGAAATCACTGTCTGCAGCTCCTTTACTCACATAAGAAGCTGTTTTCAAACCCACTGGGACAATCTCGGCTGAGAAAATGAAAATTAGCTGCCAATGATGGTACAGTGTTAAGCTTAAGAACATGAACAAATGATTTCAAATTTGGTTTGAGTTAAGTGATCTAAATTTTAATTGCTGACAGGACTAAAGCACATGTTTTATATTTGATGAAAAACGATGCAGCTACTACTGTATCTTTATCTGATCTTCCTGTGTTGAATCTCTTTACATTATATTTAACTAGAGGTGTGATGACACACTTTCCTCACGAGATGAGACGATACACAATACTGGTTCACAAGAACAAAACGAGACGATATTTTAACACTGACAAATATTACTTGGATTTGACTGAAAGTCACAGAATGCAAAACACTGCAGATGCATTTTGAAATGTTTTAACTTATCATGTAATGAATGCCACTTCATTTCTACTTTGAGTATCAACTATCATATGCAGTAAAAGACCGGACAATTATGGCACACCATGTATTTTCATTAGTCCCGGATGTTAAATTGTGTTTTTTTTTTATCTATCAATGCTGACACACTGGTGGTAGAATTAGTGCTAAGGTAGAGTAGGCTACGTTGGCAGCATGGCTAACAAAACACAATGAAAACTCATGGGCCGAAAATGAGAATGAAGCCATGAAACTCCCCTTCCAACGCTCAACCTCTGACCAGCGCAGCCCCGTGCATTAAAACATAACAGGGAGTTGTGTTTTTGCCAGACTAATGTGAATATATCATCACACTCCATCATACTGTATTGGGCTGGTTCTGTTGTGCGCTGTTATCACAAGACAGCTTTTGCCTTGACAAGAAATAACACCACGTTTTAATATCTAGTGGCATGAGATCTCGTCACACCCCATTGCCATTCTGGTCTTGTATCTGAGTCCTCTAGTTAAAAAAAACATTAAACAAACATTAAATAACTTGTAAATCTCATCTATAACTCATTCTGAATTGTAAGGGCTTCAGAATTAAAAGCAGGACAGTTGCTCTAACATCCTTTGCCAGCTTTTCTTGTGTGACCATTTACTGTATATACAAAGAGGTATGTGAGCATAGCTTTTGAGTATTTTCATTTCATTGTACTTTAGACATCTATTCTAAGGTGAGACAAGGCACGTTTATACGTTTAAGTAGCACCCTTCACCAACAAGGCACCTTAAAGTATTATAATGTACTCTACGTCAAACAAATCGCAGGAAACATTTACTTTTTAATCAAACAGCATTAATAAGTATTGCTTATTTTCCAGCTTCTACTTACAAAATACATGATGATCTTAAAATATCATGCACTGCTGTAAATAACTACACAACAACATATGGTATTAAGTAGTTAAAAAAAATGAGCTCCTCCTTTAACAACTACAAGATGCTACTTGTATATTTATGGGTCATTAACTTCAGTAATATTACTGTAGCAGCAACAGAACAATGCTCCCGGGGGCCCATCTTTCAGAATTATGAGTACTAATGATAGTTTAAGTAACATTTACTCATAATATTTACTTAAGGGTCATTTTCACTGCAAGACTTTAACTTGTACATCAGTAAGGAGTAGTCTTAATACTTTCTCTGCCACTGACAAACACCAGTATCCTGGATCTACAGCAGAACACAACAAGATGTCTGGAGACACTGGGTCCACAGTTATATCTGACACAACAACAGATGCTTCATTGAGACAAATCCTTTTTAACAAAAATGTTATTCTGGGGGTTTGATTCTTGTTTTGCATTTACAGTATAAGAAATAACATTCTCAAATTAGACATCAATACCAGCCAAGAACATGAAAATGTCAGAGTCGATTTCCAGTGTCTTTTATTATGTTTTCTTAACCCTCTGACCTTACAGCTTCATCATGAGCATCAGACACAATCTCTGTTTTTTTTCTCTGGCTTAAAAAGACAGTCATATAAAGTATCGTGTATATTCCGCTGCAAAGGGAACAGCTGACATAATGTACGTCATGACTAAAATCACACTGTATGTCCCTTTAAAACAAGTCTTGTACCCTGTTTTGAGGTTGGAATCAGCTCGTTGTCATATCATATCTCCTGGAGACTTACACACAATAAGCTCCTATGCTTCTAGCCCCCTCCTCTCCCGTTTTCTCAAGAACAATGGTCTGAACTTCCATCCTCTTAACAAGAGGGAGCTCGAGCAGAGAGTGCAATATCAAACCGGCAGCTCGTGCGCCCAGCTCATGTTGCCATGGCGATAATGGTAGAATCCATAGCTGCCTCTTTGCCATCTTGGTAATTCAGTTATTTTAGTGTGAGATACAGACTTTGTCAGTGATACAGCTGAGCTACAGAGACCACAATGAAATGGGAGAATTAAATTCTAATAATAAATGCGTTTACTCACTATGTTCAGCATGATGGAAAGATACAGAAAGAGTGAGGAAGTGTAAAAGGAAGGGCTCAGAAATGACAATTTTAAAACACGATAAATCATCTGTGTATTTTCTTCTTGTATAAACTCAATTAATTCATCGCACACACAAACTCTCACCTCGCTATCTCAAATATTTACAGTTGTAATTGCTTTAAATTTATTGTGTATAATTTGTGGAGACAATTGTTCATTGTTTTGTTTTATTATATACATTCGCTGTTCAAGCACATCCTATGAAAATAAAAATCTTAGCAAATGATACTTCTCAAAGGGCAAAATGTTTATAATTCAGGGAGTTATTTTGCAAATAAAACTCAGTAGCTAAATACCTTTCACACACACACAGATAGATAGATTGACTGAGGGGAGCTGCAGCACCTGTTGCATCCTGATCCTTTAGTAAGATTCACAAGGTGTACTCAAAGTGGCTTTCTTAACTTCTCCTGTCCATTTCCACATAAATGCTAAAGTTAACAGATCATGACAAAGGAGCATGCTACATTTAAAAAAAAGTCATTTGTGCCCTTTTGCAGCAAAAAAAAAAAAAAAAAAAAGACCTTAAATTTCCCCTAGCTGATAGCCTGCCAGTAAAATTAGCCAATTTCCTCTCATTAGGAATAGCATCAAACTCAGCAATATATAAACACACCAGTAGTCCCTCCACAGCTGCTGTTTAACTATTTATCATCATGACTGACAACTAGCAACACTTCTTGATGACATGCAGCCTGCCAAATGACTATAAACATGAACACAGCTAGGCCTCTCTTACCTTAAACCAGATGATTAGGCCACTCCTCTCTCTGTGTGGAGAAACGTCCAGGCGGATCATTTATCATTTCAGACCGGAAGTCTGTCCTGATTCTCAGACTTAATTCAGCCTTAATGTATCTTTAAAACGAATGTCCAGTAACGCCGTGTTAAACCTCACAGGGTGAGAAAAATAAGTCGGCGTCGCTCGCTGTCGTTCGCGTGTTTTAGGAAAACACCGGGAGTGCAGTTTAATTAGTTTAAATTTGGCGCGACTTACGGCCAGCAATGACACAAACACGCCGCTCTTCTAATTCCAGTAATGTTCCTCTCCGAGACTTAACAAATGTAGACACACTGAAAGTTTATTACCCCTAGTATAAACTCTTGTCACTTACTGGTCACTTCTCATTTAGCTGACAACGCTAGAGCACTGGCAGCTAATACTAGCTAAACATTTCCTGTTACCCCTCCTTCACATTAAAAATGTCTTCTGTCTTCTTCGTCTTTTTCTTTTTCTTCTTCCTTTTCTTCTTCTTCTTTTATAGATTTTATTGACGTTGGCAACAGCTTAATACGTGCATAACATTTTCAAGTCCTGAATGGCTATTATTGTGAAATTGTCAGTTTAAATGTAATCTATTAGTCACTGCCATTATCGCAGCTATTGTTTGGAGAAAGAAAATACTCATAAACAAGTTTGATTTAAGAGATTGGTAATTTATTTTTTCAGATGATAGAATATTAGCAATAGACATGGAGTGAGTGTGTGTGTTTGTGTGTGTGTGTAAAAGGATGAAAAAATGTAAAAAGGTAGGACTTATAAAGTTCTTCATATTTCAGTCTTAATTCATAAAAAATACCTATTCTAAGCCAACAACCATTTCTGCACAGCACTTGGCAATGATAAGGCCCATTAATCGCCTCGATGGTTTGATGTGAAGGAAGTGTGTCCAGTACCCTCATCTTTTCAAAACTGCAGTGGCTGATTCAACTATAAACTGTTCAGTATTAAATCTGATTTTAGCTGTACATATTGTACTGTGGCCACATGATAATTTCATATCCTTAAAGTGAATTATAATAAATCAAGCAATGACAAGAATTGACTTGGATGTCTCCATCAAGAAAAGCTACAACACATTTTGAAAAGTAATTCCATTAAATACAAGGGTTCTTGAAAAAGCCAGTTATGATGATTCTCCATAACTTCAATTATGGAGTTGAAGCTATGAATGAATAATTTTGTTATGTCCCCAGCCTTTGCAGACTGCACTCTCACAAAGGCCAGGGAAAAGGTTTGAAGATCAAATACACTCGGTACTGAACTCCTGCTGCAAAGTGTAGCGCCTCAATGGAGGAGGCAGTGATGGCAGGCTGCTGCTCCTTGGGTGCACTTAAATCATCCGGCCTGATATGGACACCGCAGGATGGAGCCTCATTGGAATTTTAAAACAGGAAGCTCCACAACCATAAACAAGGACTATGCTACTTTTAGAGGTGGCAGTGGAGAAATAGCATGAGCTTTTACTGGGCAGCAGCAAAGAGGATTTCACATAAGGCTTTACAATACTGCACTTGCATACACACAGATGTCAGTTTATTAGGTACACCATGCTAAACCTAATTTAATCTGATACAACACTCCTGCTATTATTCCTCCCTTCATGAATGTGATGATAATGTTTTTGTTGGAAATGTTTTAAAGAGGTGTTGATTCAACATTATGATCATTTTGTAGGATGTAGACTTTTGTATTATGCCATATTTGTTTTAGGTGTACTTAATAAACTGCCAACTGAGCATGTTGTTGCATCAAAATTTGGGCGCTAGTATGAGAAAACAAAAACTTCATAGAAATCTGCTGCAATTTTGAAACAAGGTGTAACATTGTGATAGGAAAGAAAAGCTAACAAAGATACTACAAACATGACAATCTCCATGTGCAGCTGCCACCTTCACTGTGAGGAATTAATGAGAAATAAATAAATAAATTTGGCGCTTAATTTGCAGCCTCACCCCAAGGGACGTTATCAGTGTGACAGACCTGGCTTCATGTCGCTCTGAAATGTCAGACACACAGACACCAGTGTCGTGGTCCATTCTTAATAATTCAAAACACCAATCAGGCTGTCTCAGTACCTGCCAACTTCATATTTTTCCTCTCAAAAAACACAATGGGCAGAGCGTGGATTGCTGCTAGCAGAGGATAAAAGGAGAGCTGACATGAGATATCTAGGAAATTGCCACCATCTCCCAGATATTCTCAGAGCAAGGAGGTAAAGATGCAAAGACTAGTGCTGTCACATGTTTCTGGTGAAAGTCTTGTCTCTTCTCTGACATGATATACTGTTACAGTCCAGACTTTGTGGTTTGAACATAAAACAGGCTGAAATTGACTGAAACTAGGGCCTGAAGCATGGGTTTCCAAGAGCTTTAATCATTCCATTTAGTTGAGACTGAGGCGCATCCTGCCCCTTTTCCTGCCACTGGCTCTGTGGCTCCTCATTGAGGCTGATTGACTGAAGTGCTACTGGATGCTATTTCAGACATGCTAAACTAGGAGACAGCAGCCACCGCTCTCTGGTTGAGAAACAGCTGGATGAAATTATGTCAGACGGTTATCTAAGAGGAGAAATGACTAAACTTAAGCCTTAAATCTTCAAGTGCTCAATGACACGTTTGTCATTCACTCCCACATTATAATGTATGCTCCCAGAGGATGTGTCGAGCGGTGTGAGGGTTGGAAACGAGCCTCTGTCAGACAGGATGGTCTCGTCCAGCAATTTAGTTTCACACTAATTTTGAGAGACAGAACTTTTAAAAGTATGGTTGAATTTGGTACATCAAAGGCCAGGAGATTATAATTTTTAGCCCCTGGTGTAGGCCGGTGTCTAAGAATGTTACATACTCTTCCCCTAATACAACTCAAGAGCTGAGATGTCGAGAGAGCATGAGAGAGAGAGTGAGGGGCTCCACGAGTGCAAAGAGCAGCATTTGACTAACGCTGAGCCACAGAGGTTATTAATGCCTGTTTGTACTGATAATGGTAAAAAGGCAATTTAATTTCTTAAGCAGAGAATAGATTTTTGTTTGCTCAAACTACATTATTCTTTGTAAAATAATAATGTCTCTTTAAAATATCAATTGTCTGCAAAACGCACACACAATTTTCCTGTGCTCAAAATACTATGTAGCAGATGACAGAAGTATGCTGACATGAGAATATTGATACCACTCTCATCCTCTGACAGTAAACACTGTAAACAGAGGGAAACATTTCGAGGTAACAAAAATCCACCAGCCAACAACTCCACACTAATTAACATGTTTTTTCCTGTTCAATCTGTACACAAACTGAAATATAAAAATATCACATTTATGGAGTCTCTGCTGGTTACCTAGCAATCTCATTGTGATTTTTGACATGAATGCACAGCTTTGAAACACCAGCCCTCTGGTTTATAATGAAAGCATTCTACTGAAGGTTTAAGTCTCCAGCTTATACTGAAATAATCTGATGATATAGCTGTCAACATTAACACATTAACGCATGTTAACTCAGCTCCATCATCTGAAAATCTCAAAAAGCTACAGTATAGTCTACCTGAGCAACTGGTTAAAAGAAGAGTAGACTATGATTGGTTGGCTGGAGACATATACATCCTCACTGATGTCATGTGATATATTGACAGTCAGATATTTTTAAATTACTGTTATTTTCTGGGACAATGCCACATCTTTTATCAAGTGCCCCGCTCAGCAGAAATATATATATTTAAATAAAGTAAGCAATGTCTGAAGCTTTGAACACATGATATAAATAACCAGGTTATTTTTAGAGGCCTTCCTCCTCAAATCATCCTTTCAGGTGCCCTCAGATAAAAATTACTTTTGAAAGTCAAAGGTACAAGGTTCAGTTTTCAATGTGCAAGACGGGAAATGTCAGAGGCTTGTCTATAAGAGAAGTGGAGGAAAATCAGTGCTCGTTTGCTTCAGTATTTTTGTGCTGGTACAGAGGGAGCACCTCAGAGCTGCTGGAAACAGATGAAGCCCTTTTTAACATGCATTGTGAATTGCATAGTAATGACACGTCGTGATCACACACACCTGAGCTGAAAAATACACAAGAGCCCTTGACGGTTTTGACATTTTCTCCTCAAGTGTATTTTCTACATGAGGAATCATTTGAAGTGTTTAGCCCCTAACAATCACAGAGTTTAAATTGTGTTTCTTGGCTGGAATAAATACATTTAAATGTTGCTGAACATCTTATCTGGTTATTGAAACTGTATTCTTAAGCTTGTATTATATTTTAAGCCACTATTAAGGTCTTTTAATTGGCTTCAAAGGTAATTACTGGTCACATCACCTATAACACTTGTAACATGATGGGAGGTTTAATACTGACAAGCTTGTTGACATATGATCAGTTTGAGGCTGTGAATAAAAAAGTGTGACTTCTCTCTTTTAATGTGGTCTTCTTGCTAATCACGGATTATCCCAGATCAAAGGATGAGGCAGACATTTCTGCAACGTACCAGTGAATCCCCAGCACTGGGACAGTGAAATGTAAGGAAAATCTCCCTCCCATACATAAACTCATGCACCTGCACAGTGTCAAATGTACTTTCTGCAGATAAAGTTCTCCTTCTGGAAAATATGTAAATGTGTACATTTACACACAACCCTCAGCCAGAGATTTCCCATTTCGACTAAGGTGTGTGTATAAACTTCTGCCTCTGTGCTATAGGCCTATCAGCAGATGAACACATCAGAAAAAAGGATTTTGAGTCTACCTCTCCCAGGATATGCAAGCCTGAAAACAGCTGACATTTCTAGTGCTGTGTTTGGTTTGCAATAAACATCAGAAAACACTTCCCAAGTGCATGAAGAAAATTTTATATAAATATTTATTGTCTTTATTTTCTAGCCCACTTTACAGTAAACTTGCTTATTATTATTTTCATCTCTGCCTGAATGCTGTTGTCATCATGACTCTACGCACTGAATCCACAGTTCAGCCTGTAATATACTCTACAGTTGACCAGTCTTGCTGCAAGATTGTTCAACTCACTTCTTGGCCAGACCAGACTGTGCTCAACTCTAATCTGTCTGGCTCTTGTGTGTGCTCCTTAACCTGAAAACTGGGTATGTTATCATTTCTCCTCAGACGGCTGATGAGCTTCGCCATCCAGCTGGAGCAGGATCTCTGGGCCCTACAGTGCTCCAAGAAATGCTGCTAATGAGTGCAAGGAGGTTTGGTGGCAGGGATCACAGGACCTCATTCAACAATGTCTTCCTAAGTTTTGTCTTACATTTGTTCTGGAGAAAGGTCCTCAGAAAAGCCTATAGCCCTTTTCAGACATGCACTGAAACCCTGAAATTATCTAGACATTACCCAGACTAAGTGAGAATGGAAATGTTGACCCAGACCTTAAGTGGACTTTACTCTGCCAGCTCCCTGTCTGTGTGAACTCAGAGTGAGCTTACGTGAGAAA